AAATGGCAAAATATTGCATCATACCATATAGTACTTCCTACACTTATATGATTGGTTTCATGGAAAAACATGAAAATCTCTTTGATTCTCTGAGGTTTTATGATGAGATGAAGAAAAGAGGTTGGATTCCAAACCTTAAGGTTAGCAACTATCTAATTTATATATTGACATGAGAAAATTGCATGAAAGAAGCATATAGTATGTTTAACAAAATCACGGAGGCAGGTTTACGACAAGATTTGGAAACTTATAATTGTATGGTACTCCCACTTTGTGAATCACATAGATTGCATGAAGTGCAAGAGATAATGCAGATGATGATTTTAGGAGGTGTTTGTCCGTCTATGAATACTTACCATGCATTTATCAAGATAGAGGATTTCATGGGATTAATCAAGTTGGTTGAACAAATGAAAGAGGATTGTAATACACCAAATCAAAGCACTTTCCTTCTAATTTTTAATAATTTTTTAGATTGGGTAAATAAGAAAATGCATTGAAGATGAGGAGTGAAATGAGTAAATATGATGTTATTCCTAACGCCATGTGTTACATTAAAATGATTAAAGGATTGGTAGTAGATGGATGGATTCCGAAGGCTAAGGAATTTTATGGTCAAATGAAGTCAAAAGGCTTTCGGGCTCTGAATTGCAGAATTGGAATAGCTTATCTTCATAACTAGGAAACTTGGAAAGAACATAATTTATAGAGATTTGAAACATTGATAGTTTTACTTTCCCATATGATTTTACACATATTTTATCCTATCAAATACAATTTTACTTTGATCAATTTGTTTGGTAAGCTGTCTTCTGTTTATTGCTTTTTTTTTAATGTTTGTATTTGTAATCATCAAAAATAACAAAAAAAATATGGGTCTTTACCTAATGTTTTCCTAGTTTAAGGTTTCGTTTGGGATGGCTTTCTTACTACTTCTTAAAGCAGCTCTTTTAGTAAAAAAAAGAAGTAATTTTTGTACTAAATAATTTCTTTTAAAAATAATAAGAAAATCCTCCCAAACAAAACCTTAAACATTCTTAAATTTTTAAAGAATTAAGAGATTTTGTTCTCTCAACTTTTCCACAACTTTCTCACACTTATGAGAAAACATTTTAATTTAGCATTCTTTTACTCTATTAATTTGTTTAAACACTTCCTTTTTTATTCATAAAGTAACAGATGACTCTTTTGTAGGCGTTTTTTTTAATTGTTTCCAAAAATTATATGTATATCGTAGTAATTCAATAAAGTGCTAAAGTAGTAAGTTAAAAGTATGCAGATAGGACTTTCTCTGTACAAGGTTACAGAAAATAGAGTCTTCCTTGGTAAGTGCACATAGAGTGATCCCAGCAAGCCTACTTTTCATCCAATTTTTTTTGGTAGCCTTGTATACCTCGGATTCTAGATGTTGATGTTTGATTGGGTATTTTGCTAAGTCAGATTAAGCCATTTTAAATGAGATTTGATAAGAGGAACACGAGGGTTGTGAGCCGCTAGGGTTTTTCCTTTAGCTCTCGTTCCTCCGCTGCTTTTGCTCCTCCTCCTCGCCGGGGAGGGGCCACCTCCCCATGGCTTCCTCCTCCACTTACAACTGTGACTTTCCCACTCTTCCTGGCTCGGTTGCTACTTACTCCCCAGGCCATTCTCCCCTCAACTTCATTTCGAATCTCACCAACCACGACCCGATAGCAAATAAGTTTGCTGTCTCCTTCATCAACCCTGCTGCTAGGGTGCCTTTTTCTGCAGCTGACTTGGATCTGGGAGTGCCGGACTGGAAGCATACTCTGGTCGGGTATTCGGTTGGACCCAGACCGACATACCTCAGCCTTCAATCTGCGATCAGGAAGGTATGGTCCTTGAAAGGTGCGGTTGAACTACTATCCCTGAATGATGGTTTCTTTTTGTTCAAATTCGCCTCACCTGAAGATTTTGAGACAGTTTGGACGGGTGGTCCTTGGTTTCTTTTTGGGAGGCCATTCATTCTCCAACAGTGGACTCCCAAATTTAAACCTAGGCTGGAGGAGTGCAATTCCATTCCCATTTGGATCAAAATCGTTGACCTCCCGTTAGCGGTTTGGAACCCGTTGGGCATTTCTAAGATTGCCAGCTTTGTAAGTCATCCCTTGGCTGTTGATGCCCTTACAGCTAGGAAGACCCGCTTGACGTATGCTAGGGTCTGCGTGATGGTTACCAAAGAATCCTCTTTCCCGGATGAAATCCCTATCTCCATGGATGGGGATGAAATGTCTTTACAAGTGTTATATGACTGGAAACCAACTCCATGTGCCGGTTGCGGATCCCTTGTTCACCCTTCCAGTTTATGTCACAAAAACCCTCAACCCAAACCGCCGGCAAAACCTCAAGCTAGAGGAAGGAGCTCCAGTCGAGCTCGACCAGCTCTTCTGCCACCTAAAGTGCCTGTCCCTCAACCGAATCCTCCCCTCCTTCCATCCTCTGTTATTTCTGCCACTGCCGATTCTACAGCCCTCCTTCCATCTTCTGTTATTCTTGCTAATGCTGATTCTACATCACAAGATCCCACCCCTCTTAACACAGTTGTCATTACTCAGACCCAGGACATGAATATAGGAGACTCTGCTACTCCTAGAATTCTCCTTCCCAATCCGCAGCCGGACATCTCAACTTCGGTTCACCCAGTAGAGGACCCTATACCTAATCTAAATTCACCGATTGATGTTGCCTCATCATCGGAGCAAATACCCAGCACCTCAACTGAGAATAGTCAATCAAGTTCCCCTAAAAGCGCCCTCATTTCCTCTTTTGAGCGCAGCAAGAAAAATTTCAATGTCTCTACTACCCCCAATAAATTTTCTATCTTACAAATGGATGGACAGCAAGATCTTGGTTTCCAAGACCTGGGTTCCTCCTCTCAGCAGATTGTTGATGATAGTCTCCTCAAAGGGCAATCTCAAAAGTCCCAACATGCAAAAACAACAAGGGCTAAGGGTGCTAAGAAAGCACAAAACCCATCCAAATCTAAATGACAATGACTCTTCCCGCTGTTGGTTGCTGGAACATCCGTGGCTTTAATAAGCCGGAAAAAGTTCTAGCTTGCAAGAATTTAATTTCGTCTCATCAACTCGACATGCTGTGCATCCTCGAAGCAAAAGTTAATCCTTCTTCTCATCTAGACCCGTGGTTTCACAAGACCCATCAAATTTTTCCCTTGGAAAATTGCTGCAATAACTTTAGCCTCTCATCTCCTGGGAGGATTTGGCTAAAATGGAATCCCTCCTCTCTTACATTCAATACTGTCTGCTTTACCTCTCAACTGATTCATGGCTCGCTTCGATATGGTAACTCTCCCCCCTTTTATATCACTTTTGTCTATGCTGCTAACTCCCCACATGACAGAGCTCCTTTGTGGCATCAACTTTTGTATCTGGCTAATTCTATCTCTTCTCCTTGGATTGTGATGGGAGACTTCAACTGTTTTAGAGATCCTAAAGACAAAGCTGGAGGTGCACCAATCCACTTTAGCCGTATGGGTGAATTTAATGCTTGGGTGTTCAACTCAGGCACTTTTGACCTGAAATCTACTGGGTTGAGATACACTTGGTTCAATGGGCGTGTTGATGATCCTATTCACATCAAATTGGATAGAATGCTGGTTAATCAAAAGTGGTTGGATAGTTTCCCTCTATCCTATTATAAGGTTGTTCCCCCCACTTGCTCAGATCATACTCCCCTCTTATTATGCTCGGGTGCCCCTTCCTTGCTTAGCAGATTTCAGTTTAAAAACTATTGGCTAAATTTTGATGGTTTCTGGGATATTCTCATCACTTCTTTTGCCACTCATCATGCCGGTAGCCTTATCTCTAACCTGTATGGTAAACTCAAGACACTCAAGCTGCAACTTAAGTCCAAAAATTGGGCAAAAAACGATTATGTGAAGTCTCACCTGGAGGTTCTTCTTCAACAGCAAAAATTATGTCTGGATCATTTGCAAACTAACCCGTTGGATCAAGCCCTGAATGCTTCCCTCAAGGCTCTTAATAATAGCATTCTCAATTTGCAAAAGGCTTGGAGCTCTTGGATCATCCAAAGAGCTAAGGAAAAGTGGTTATATAATGGAGAAGATGATTTGGGTTTTCTGTACGCCCGCATTAAAACTAGAGCCAATTCTTCCAAGATTAGGGAAATTTTCACTGATGAAGGGCATTTCAATTCCCCTCCGGAGGTTGCTAAGGCCATTGTGGATCACTTCAAAAAACTCTATAACCCGTTGGATCATGTTCACTCCCATAACAATTTATTTGCTTGTGGTGACTCTATCCCCAATCATCTCATAGCTCCTTTAATTGCTCCGATTTCTGACACCGAGATTAAGCAAGTGGTTTTTGCTGGTCCCTCGTCTTCAGCTCCTGGACCGGATGGGTTTACTTTTGAATTTTATAAAGGTGCTTGGGAGGTTATTGGCCTTTACGTCATCAATGCGGTTAAAATTTTTTTTAAAACTGGGAACCTTCCTAGGAGTGCTAAAGCTACCGCTATCTCCCTCATCCCCAAGCACCAACAAGCCTCCAATATTTCGGATTTCAGACCTATATCTCTTTGTAATGTCTTCTACAAAATTATTGCAAAGATTCTTGCCAACCGGCTTAGATGTGTTGTGCCCTACATCATTCACAAAAGCCAAGCAGGATTTATCCCTAACAGAATTTCTACGGATAACATCATTTTAGCCAATGATATTTTAAAGGATTTCAATGGCAATCCTTCTAGAAAATACTTATGTGCGAAGCTTGATATTCGCAAGGCTTTTGACTCTGTGAATTGGGATTTTCTCCTCAATAGAATGAAGATAAAAGGTTTCCCGGATTGTTTCATTGCTTGGATCAGAGGCTGTATTTCTGATGTTCCTTTCTCTGTTTGCATTAATGGAGTAATTGAGGGGTTTTTCACTTCTAAAGCAGGATTAAGACAAGGTTGCCCTTTATCTCCCCTGCTTTTTGCTATTACCATGGATGCTTTCTCTACATCTCTAGATGCCTCTTCCTTTTCTGGTATTCCTTGTGCTGATACCTCCATTAACCATCTCCTCTATGCCGATGATGTGTTGGTTTTTGGGTTGGCCTCTATTAACAATGCCATGGTGTTATCCAATTTTTTAAAGGTTTTTGCACTTGCTTCAGGTCTCTATATCAATCATTCCAAGTGCTCCATTCTGTTTTCTGATAACACCCCACTGGCTAATGATATCTCCTTTGTTTTGGGTTTTTCTCCTACTGAGCACTCACTCAAGTATCTGGGGCTTCCTATCTCTATCAAGAAACTTAGTTCTGCTCACTTCCAACCTCTTTTAAGTAGAATTTCTACTCTTCTTGATGGTTGGAAAGTTAAATTTCTATCTTTTGCAGGTCGGATCCAATTCTTAAGATTTACAATTGCTAATACTTTGGCTTATTGGATTAGGGGTTCTATTATACCCAAATCCTGCATGAAATTTATTGATAAACTCTGCTCAAGGTTTTTGTATCATGGCAATACTGAGGGGAAAAAGTTGCACCTGATAGCTTGGCACAAAACCTGTCTTCCTACTTCTCTGGGTGGTCTCGGGATCCCAAACTTTCATGCCTTAGCCCACGGTTTTGGTTGTTCTTTCATTTGGAGATGGTATACTACAAAATCTTTGGTCTTTGACTGGTTTAAATTCAAATATCTTTCACCATGGAAACCGATTCCTCTGAAATGTCCCAGTTTCTGGAAATATATACATTCAGTTGCTAGTAGGATTAAAAATGATCTCCGTTTTAATGTTTTGTCAGAAGGCTGCAATTTCTCCTTATTTTGGGACCCTTGGATGGATGGGAAAATGCTCTCTGACTTTTTCACCGCATCGGCTGGGTTATCTGACAAGCTTTGCTCCCTTATACAACATGGAACCTGGTGTTTACCGAATTATTTGCCTCTGTGGGTGAAACAACTTATTTCTGCCATTCCAATCTCAGCCAGTGTTGTCCCTCTTCACTGGAAAAACCTGGATAAACCGAGTTTTAAGGTTTTTAAGATGAATTTCTTTGATGGTTGTCAATTGCAAGCATGGCATAAGTTCATATGGCACAAAAGGGCTGTTCTTAGGCATTCTTCTTATGCTTGGCTTCTTATTCGGGATGGATTAAAAACGGCTGACATTTTAGCTAAACGAAACATTTTCATAAATCCTATTTGCCCTCTTTGCCATGGTGGTGTTGAAAGTGGTGCTCATTTATATTTTTCCTGCGAATTTTCCTTTGCAATTATCACCTATCTCCTTCCGGTTTTAAACTGCTTCTTATTAAGACCAACTGTTCTGCAACTTTTTGAATTTGTGGAGGAGATTAGCACCCTTAATCCTGTGGAAAAGAACTTCTGTTATTTTGTGATTTGCTGTGTTATTTATTTTATCTGGAGGGAAAGAAATGATAGGAGATTTGAGGGGTCTCACCTATCTCAACATGAATTGTGCAAAAAGATTGCTTGGATTATTTCTTGCAAAACTTCAAAATGGAAAGACTTCGAACTGCTCCAGGCTTTGTTTCCTTCCTGTTTTTTGGCGGGCGGTGCTTCTTCGATTTATTGGGGACAATGATGACTGGAATTGGCTTGTTTCCCTTTGGATGGCTGCTTGGTTCCAGCCCTTGCAGGTTTATTCATTGGCATGGCATTTCACTGCAACCTGTCTTCCCTGTTTTGTGCTGGTCCCTTTTGGCAACCAGGGCAACGTTTTGACGGCTTCCTGGGGACATTTGAGCTTAGCTGATTGCCTGTTTTGTCCGTGCCGGTTCCAATTTTGCCTGAGTCATCTGGTTTTGCTTCCCAAACTTATTGTTTTTTGTCTTCTACTTTTTCTTCATCATTTAGATAGATTTCAAGTTGGTTTTTCCTTAGTTTCTTCCTTTCCAGCCACTTTTTAAGCTGAGCTCTTTGTAAGTCATCAAATTTTTGGTATATCAATATATACGGGCTTTGCCCCAAATTTTCCCAAAAAAAAAGATTAAGCCATTATGCCCAAGCCAAACAGCCCATTTTGGCATTCCCTATACCAAACCCATTTTATCTGTCTGTTGCAGAGAACCACAGTACAGAATTACGCAAACAAACATGCATATGCATGGCTTATTATTTCATTTATTTATTAAAAA